TATATATAAGTTCCATATAAAAATTAATTGATCATTTTATTGGCCGAAATACTTGTGTTTTATAAAGCAAATTCGATTTGTTAATAGTATTCAGAAGACATAATTCTATTTTATATAATATGTTACTCTCTAATTTTAGAAAATGATCATTAATGTTTAACGAAGTATCAATAACTTTCAAATGGTTTGCTTTAAAAATATAGTTTTTAAAATCGGTAATTGTTTCTTTAAGTTTAATTTAAATATTGAATTGAAATGAATCATCATTCGCATTAGTTGTCATATCGCACAAAGAAGATAGTTATAGGAAGCAGAATTTTGACATTAATTTGGTATTTCTTATTCTATTTAAACCACAATAAAATACATAAAGCTAATTCGAACATTTATTCTGAGAGAATAAGCTTAATATCATCCTCATATTAATTTTTTATCTCAAAATTGTAATATTGTTATAGACTTAGTTGCTTTCTTTGCAGTTATTTTTAATTGTATGCTACGAAATAGTGAAAGTACGAGTGTTAAATGTTGCTTGGAAAAGTCCAAGAATTATTATTCGTTTGTATTTTTGAAAATGAAATGAGATTGCATGTAAATTGAAGTTATACCAAATTATGTATAAAGCAATGAAGCGCTAAATAATTCCCTTGCCCATACATTTTTGTCCTTTTCTACGTTACTTTTTCATGTTATGTTTCGTATATTACCTTATATATATTGACGTCATTGAAAAAATAGAAGAAAAGATATTCGAAAACAATTGTCTTTTCTTTTTAGCTTTCGCGCGAATTTGTATGCGAATTCTTAATATCAATAATGAAATAATTATATCTAGCCTGTTTATAAAAATATCGTATTTTGTTAAAATATGAATAGGACATATAAATATAATGACGTAATTAAATTAATATACTTTTTCAAATATCTCGTATTGTGATATTATATTATTTTAAATAATATTTTTTGCATGAATCGTAAAGAAAGAAAAATTAAACGAATGGCATGTCTTTTTCTTATATTATTTGTATACAAACGCGTGATTAGTTAGAACTTTGTGTTCTCTGCGTTAATGCAATATTAACAATATGGACGTATAAATATAATTGAAGAAAGCGTGGTATCATAGTCATATTTCGTGAAATCATTCGAAAATGTAAATAAATTATAAGAACAATATACGATATATTTATGTTACTTTTTTTCTATTAAAAAAATGTTTAGCATATAAAAAAATGAGTATTTAAAGATAATTTTATATTGTTTAATATAATTAAACTTATCTATAGAAGTAAAAATTACAAAAGTTTCAATTGCGAAGTCAATTTGCCGCTCTTGATAGTCTTGATACTGATTGGTATTTTCAAACGTGTCATACGTCAATCTCGCATATGATTGGAGAATGGCGTTGGCCGAGGAAACGTGAAGCTTATTGGTTTATACGTTTAGCAAATCGGAAGTTACGTATTTCTTACAAATTTTCTACTTAACAAAGGAAGTAATTGAGAGAAAATATAAAGAGAATAAAGTATTAAAAGATTAAATTTAAGAAATAGAGAAAAGATAGTGCATTGAACGTGAAGTGATATGTAAAGTAGGATAATCTCGGCGAATAGTTACATTAAACGTTTTATCATAAATATGTTCAAGAGGTTATCGGTTAAAGTGATTATTGTAATATAAAGCGGAATAAGATTTGTAAAAAGTATACGCGTATATGTACTGTAATGTTGTATAGTGTTTAATAATAATTAACAATAAGTGAGAATAGTGTAATGTTAATTTTAAATTTAGGCGACATTCGGCGGGAAAGCGGAAAGAGTTTGCAGTGATTTAGCAACGATGGCGCTACCTAGCGGTCGCGGCTCGAGATGGCGCCCTTGAATGATCGGTGCGCGCAACGGGGTGCGCGAGAGTAAGGCAGTCGCGAAGTAGTCAGTGTTCGCGCCGCGGAGAACCAGAAAGACAGACATCTTGTAGTAGAATTTAGCGGCGTGGTGACTCGACCGTGAGGTGTCGGTGTCGCGGTGCTTTATACGGTGTCGTCGTCGTCGCCGTCGTTGTTGTCTGTCATCGGTCTCTCTTTAAATCGTTCAAATAAGAAAAGTTTGTTTCTCGGGTCTTCATCGTCGGTCGTCGTCGTCGCCGCCGTCGTCGTCGTCGTCGTCGTCGTCGTCGCCGTCGTCGTCGCCGCGTCGGTCGTCGTCGTCGTCGTCGTCGTCGTCGTCGTCATCGTCATCGTCATCGTCATTGTCATCGTGTCGTCGTCGTGTTTGTTGTTTGTCGTCGATTGTCATAGTTGACGTTGACGTTGACGTTTACGTTGACGTTTACGTTGACGTTTACGTTTACGTTTTGCGTGCTCTCGTGCTCTCTCGTGGTAGTGCCAACATCCTGAGATCTCATCGTGCTTATTTATTAGTCGTGCAGCAACTCACGTGCAATCCGGCGATTTATTAATCGTTTACTAATCACAGAAAACAAAAATAATAATTTCTCTCTCTTGTGAATCGTCGTTCTGATCGTGCAACTCGTACGAGAAATAGGAGGAGATAGTGTGAAAGTAGTACGAGGACGAGAAGAGGAAATTAAAGTAGTAAAGGGAAGAAGAAAAAGAAGAAAAAGAAAGAGGAAAATAATAAGAAGAAAAAAAGTAGTAGAGGTGGAGGAGGGTGTTTCGGGCGGAGAAGCGCGCAGGGAAGAGAAGAGAAGAGAAGAGAAGAGAAGTGAAGTGAAGAGAAGAGGAAGAGGAAGAGGAAGAGTAAAGTAGAGTAGAGTAGCGTAGAGTAGAGTAGAGTAGAGTAGAGTAGAAAATATCGGATAAGAGAAGAAGAGAAGCGCGAAGGGGAAAACTCGTTTTGCTCTCCGCAAACGCCCATGAACGACGAAGCTCTGGAGCGACCAATGTCGTATCGCCGCCGCCGTCGTACCGTGCGATAACTTCCGTCACCTCTCCGGTTCCCCCCGTCCTTTCTCCCTCTTCACATTATATCCACCACGCGAGTTTCTTTCCCAGCCACATAATACACCGCGTTGGTTCTACTACATACGTGCGTGTTGTGTCGCCGTCGCCGTCTTCGTCGTCGTCGTCGTCGTCGTCGTCGTCGTCGTCGTTCGCCACCGGTGCGAGAGGTGCTGCTGTTGCTGCAACTGCTACCACCATCTCGTTATTAGAGAAACGGGCGCGCGCCGTTCAGAGGAACGTAGTAGGTGGAGGACCGATCGAGATCGTCCCGTGCACCGGGTCACCGTCGCTGACTGACCGGAGCCAACAGGAGCGCGTGTGCCGACCAAACAGATAGACAGATAGACAGAGAGAGAGAGAGAGAGAGAGAGAGAGAGAGACAGATAGACAGATAGTGTGTGTGTGTGTCAGAGGAAGAGAAGAACGAGGAAGAGGGTGAGAGAGTGAGCAGTGGAGAGGAGAGGAGAGAGAAAGAGAGCGAGGGGCCGGCGCCCATCCTGATCCAGCCAGCATGACCTCAAACAACTCGCAGAAGCTCTCGACGACGGAACGAGTGATCAAAAGTAAGTCACGAGAAAGTTATTTCTCTTTTCTATATCGCGGACACTTGCTATTATTATTTTCCGTTTTTTCTTTTTTTTTTTTTTAAATAATATGAGACTACTTGCACTAGAAAGAAAAAGAGAGAGAGAGAGAGAGAGAGAGAGAGAGAGAAGAGAAGAGAAGAGAAGAGAAGAGAAGAGTCATGCCGTCATGTGCACGATCTTTCGAACGTTTCTCTCTGTCGGTACGTCAGATTTGTCATGAGTTACGAACTTACTACACCACCCTACTTATGCATATGCAATCATTTCTTCTCTCTCTCTTTTCAATTTTCCTTATCCTGTGTAATTTTATTCTTTTTGTTTTGTTTGGTTTATATTTATCCCTTTTTTTTTTTTGCTTCAATACTTTGACCCTATGAGAATTTCTTCGAACGTGGATATCGATCGTCTAGTCGAGGATCCGCGTGTTAAAACAGAGATAGAGAGAGAGAGAGAGAGAGAGAGAGAGAGAGAGAAAGGATGGAAGAAAGGAAGGAAGGAAGGAAGGTAGGAGGAAAGAGATGTAAAAGAAATAAAAAAAAAAATAGAAAGAGAGAGAGAGAAGCGCGTCAAAACACGACGTGTGTGTCGCGCGGGATTGATTTTCTTCGTGGCCCTATGGCGCCATCGCTATCGACCTGACAACGTTCTCTCGCTGACCCTTCGTTTTTCGCCTTTCCTCGTCTCAACTCGCTCAGCTATGCTCTTCTTGCGGCCTCCTTTTTCAAACAGAGTCGTCGCATCCGTCGCACGATCCTTCTTCTACTTCTTATATTCCGATTACTCTTCCTCATCTACTATTTACTTATTTACATTTTCTTTTTCTTCCGTTACTTATCTCCTTTTTCTATTAATACTATTTTATTTTAATATTACTGCATTACTATAATTAATATTATTATTCCTTCTTCTTCTTCTTCTTCTACTTTTACTACTGTTACTACTATTGTGTCTGTTTTTTCTTCTTTTACTACTTCTTTAATTATTTGACTACTACTACTACTACTACTATTATTGTTTCTGTTTCTTCTCCCTTTACTATTTCTTAACTTCTTCTTCTTCTTCTTTTTCTTCTTCTTCTTCTTCTTCTTCTTTTTCTTCCTTTACTACCACTAATACTATTACTTTACCTTTTACTACTACTGTTTCTGCTTCTATTCCTTATATTACTTCTTTACCATTTCTTCTTTTATTTCTTCTATTACTATTACGCAATTACTATTTTTATTTTATCCTATACCACTACTCTTTTCCCTTTTTTTTTTTCTTTTTTTTTTTTTTTCCTCTACTACTTCCTACTTTTTATTCTACTAATGCGTCTCTACTTTTAACACTTCTATTACAATTGCTTCTATTTTTTACTTCCTTATTTCTTTTTTTTTTTTTTTTTTTTTTTTTTCCTTTTTTTTTTTTTTTTTTTTTTTTTTTATTCTTCACTCTTTTAATTCTTCTTTTTCTTTTTCCGCGAGAGGAGAGAATGGGAGGGACGAGAGTCTCCTTCTTCTTCTTCTTCTTCTTCTTCTTCTTCCAAGCACGCGAGCAACCTCGTTTCACTCGAGGTCGAGGAACGGAATCGTCTCGAGGACGTTGTGTTTCGTTGTCGTCGTCGTCATCGTCATCGTCGGGTTTGAAAATTCGCGTCTCGACGCACCACCAAACGAGCAAGCAAACGAACGAATGAAACAAAGAAAGAAAGAAAAAACGAAATAAAGAAGGAAAGAACGAACGATCGATCGATCGAGCAACGAACAGCTGACCGAGCGCGGTCACGCTTTCCCCTTCAACCCCAACCCCCTTTAGTTCTAGCCCAACCCCCGTTGCCGTTACCACAGCGGTGCCGCAACCGTACCGCAACCGGACAGATCGACCCTTTCCGTTTCTCCTACCAATAGATCGACCATTTGCAATTCTTAAGAGATTACTAATTGAATCGGGGGGTGAGGGTGGGCGGGGTGTCTTAAAAAGAACAACGCTTTGATTTTATATTTCATATAATTACAATCCACCCGTTTAATTGATTATACGAATATTTTCCCGTGTTGCGGTTAATAAATAACATTTTTATTGTTGGATTAGGATTATTTATTTTTTTGTTTTTTAAATAGAAGAAATACGTACGTTACATCGGATATTTTAATAAGGAGCAATGAATGGTTGCAAGGTTTACCTAAAAATTCGATCGAATGTAACATGTCCATTCCTTTTTTTTTTTTTTTATATATATATATAGAAAATCGTTGAATTATTTTCGATCATTTCTCTAATAGATAGATAGATATTATACCCTTAATTCTCTTATATAATTCGTTATTGTGGAGAAAATAAATGACGACATGCCCTTTTATAACACGATACTCTTATTATCCGCAATTTCCATGTATATAGGATGATTTAATAATAAACCTTGGACAACCCCTCGTCTAAGTTGAATGTTTCCGCCACCCTATGTTTTGTTTTACTTAATACAGATTTCGATACGACGTGGAACGAATTAACGAATTGAGGGGGTTGACGGTCTATATTTTCGTGGAGGAACAAAAGGAGGTGATGGTAATGGCAGCGGTGAAGAAGAAGAAGAAGAAGAAGAAGAAGAAGAAGAAGAAGAAGAAGATATGTTCGATTCACGTGTCGTTGCTCCTAATAATAGATGAGAAAATTTCGTTTGAGTTGAGAAAAGGTCGCCACGTAGAAATATAGTATATATCATATATATGTATATACATTTACCACCGAACAACCAAATCGTGAGCCAACTATGTTCCCATCCTCGTATCTCCACAGTTATGGCCCTTCGCCAATGTGCAACGTGACTACCTCTCTCTTTCTCTCTCTCTCTCTCTCTCTCTCTTTATTTATTTCCTTTATTTTCTTTTCTTCTTTCATTCCCAATTTTCTTCCTATTTATTGTTACATACCGCATTATTCAGGAGTAACTAAAATAACGCAATATGAATTCAGGAATTTTATACGTTGATATATATGTATGTACTTATTTTATTGTAAATAAGTAAATAATAATTGAAAACATTTTTCAAGTACATACGAAGAATGTTTGTTTTTTTTTTGGGGGGGGGGAGGAAAAAGGAGACTAAGAAAATGATGGGGGTTTGTTTAGGAAATTGATTGGGGTTGAAAAGAGGTCTGTAGGAAGCGAGAAATTGTGGGGGTTGAAATAGGGGAGTTTTGTGATGGGATAGCATTGTTAAAGTTTAAACAGTATTGCATTGATCCCTACGGTTGTTACAATATTGACGATAATAATAATAATAGTAGACATTATTAATATAAAAGTTTTAATGTATATATTTTTTGAATTTTTATATTGAAATATTAGTTATAAAATTCGTGAAATATATAGAGATATTCATAAAAATGAATCATCAAATATACAATCGTTTTATCTGAATTGAACGAAAATTCACACAGATTAATTTTTTTATATTTAAAAAAAATGTATACAATTTTACATTTATTTTTATTTTAGTAAATTCTCCGTACATCTTCATTTTAGTTTTGCATTAGCGTTATAACGTCTTATTTGATAAGAGAAAAAATATATATATATATATATGTAGACACTATTAATATTATATATAAGTACTCGTAATAATGGCGAAAGGGAAACGTCATTTTCGTTTAGTGCTTTACACGATCGACTACTGTTGTTGGGTCTCCGTTACTGTTGCGAGTTACGGTTTGCATACTGATGCTAGTAATGGGGATACTAATGATCACAGCGTTTCTCAACTTTTCTGCTATGCAACCCAATGAACTTGTTAATATAATCATATACCTTGACCAAAATATGTTTATATTATACAATTTTGAGGAAAGAATTTTCAATTTTTCCATTTGGCCAAACCCTTTTGTTCGCGAGCTAATATTTTCTATAATATATCTTTTTTTTTACTATCATAAACTCATACACATATTATTCGTGTATTATTGTCAAATTGATTTAGAATTAATTTTCGGTCGTTGAGCGTTCAGATATATTTTAGTTTTTTTAACATTCCTGCGACCCGTAAATGTAATTACCCGACTCACACTTCGAGAAGCCTTACTATAGTCTGAAATAATAGTATATATATATATATAATTATAAAGATACGATAGAAATCTCACAAAATCGTAAGAACATTTAACGAATAAAATTTATTATTGAAAATCTTTCGTAAACAAATTACATACTTGTTTTATTTGATAAGGTAATAGGTAATTAAAAATATAACGCTTACCTATACGTTGAGAACTACTGCCAATGATAATGGTATAACAGTTAGAAAAAATTTTCTATCTGACGTAAGAGGAAGAAAGGAAGAAAGGAAGGAAGAATAGAGAATGATTAGTAATCGATTAGTATTCTTTTTTGGTGTTTAATTGGAAGTCAGAAAAGTGAAGAAAAGAGAAACCGATTTAGGACTTGTGGTGGATGCACAGGTGGCAAGAGTCCGGTTATTGACCCTTTACCGAAAGTAGTCCGTGACTCCCTTCCAAGTATGTTCCTATATATATACACATTTTTTTTCTTCTCTTTCGGAGCCATGCAACCGTGGTTTGATACTGAGAAAGAAAGAGATGGGCTGAAAAAGGGAAGAAATACTCGCAGCGACCCTTAAAACAACCATTTTCAAGTTTCTCCGATCTTTCTAGCAAAACTTGGACGATAATAATACATACCTTTTTAAAAATGAATATCACCAAATTATGTCACTTCGAATTCAACCATTTTCTTTTTTCTTATTAGTAGATAGATATTTTCACATTTTTTTTTTTTTTTTTTTAAATCGAGTCAGATTTGAGAAAATAATTAATAAACGGTTTCCCCTTTGATCCAGTTTTATTAATTGTTATCGAATAATATAACCATATTTAACAATTGTTTATACGATTGAAAACATTATTCGACTTTACCAAATGAATACATTTAAATCGATTCTAACGCAAATACTTCAAATATTTTCAAATAATAATAAATG